CGGCGAGGCTGCAGGCACGCGGCCGTCGACTGCACGCTCGTCGCGCTCGCCCGCACCGGCCTCGGACACGGCTGGCGCTGCGCTCGAGGGCGAGCTGTTTACGCCGGCGAGCTTCAGTGCGCGCGCGGGTGCGGGTGCGGCGGTGGTGGATGCGGACGAGCTGCGGTTGCGCCAGATGCACGCGCATGCGCAAGCGCGGCTCGTGGCGAGCAGGACCGTGTTCGCTGCGCCCGCACATGCCTACCGGCGCGGCTCGAGCGACAGGGACAGCTCGAGCAGCCACAACACCGCCACTACGCATGGATCGGTGCGCTCGCCGCTGTTTGGCGCGCCCGCGTTTCAGATGGTCGGATGGGCGGGCGTGGGCGAGAGGCAGAGGACGCATTCGCAGGATACGGCGGATACCGAGCATACCGATGCGTCCGATATGCATGCCGCCATCAAGGCGGCCGTCGCGAGGGAGGGCGCACTGCCCGCGGTGTCGTAGCAGTTTCAGCACGGCAAGGATCAACACCAGGCGCACAGTCGCAGTCGCCAGCTGTCATAGTCAAGCACGGTGACGATCGCATTCAGGCAGTGTCAACCAAGGCACTGCTGAGCGAAGCACAGTCGGGCAAGGCGCTGCCGACCGAGCCACAGTCGCGCCGAGTCGCAGTGAAGCAAGGACCTGTCGCGCAAGGCAACGACCGTGTCGAAGCTCGGTCGTGACAAGGCACAGACAGGCAAGGCCAACCGTCATCGCAAAGCACTGCCACGCAAGGCACAGGCTCCTCGAGCACAGTCGCTGCCGAACCCAACCGCAGTCGGACAAGGCGCGGCATCGCAAGGCAACAGTCGTATCGGACCTCGGTCGTCATGACAAGGCACAGTTGCGCCGTGTCGCAAGTGGGCACCGTCGCAGTTCGAGCAAGGCCGTATCAAGCAAACCAACACAAAAACATCTCGGTCACGACCAGTTGCACTCGGGCACAGCCGCGTCGAGCACAGTCTCGGGATGGCGCAGTCGCAGTCAGACAAGGCAGTGTCAAAGCCGGGCACAGCCTCAGTCTGGCACAGCCGCAGTCGGAGAAAGCGCAGCCTGGGCAAAGCATAGTGTCGCAAGTCGTGGTTTCGCAAGTTGTGTCGAATTCGATCATGACAAGGCAACAGTCTAGGACACCAGCCGCGCCAAGTCGCCGCCGAGCACAGTCGCAATTACGCACGACAGTGTCAAGCGAAGGCGACAGGCGGACAGGACGCAGTCAAGCAAGACGCAGACAGACCGGACGCAGCCATGACACGGCACAGTCGGGCACAGTGGCAGTCAGCCACAGCCGCGGTCGGACAAGGCGCAGCCCGAGCAAAGCACAATATGGCGGTGCAACAGGCGGATCGCCCGCATACGGACAGGGCGCAGGCGAGCAAGTCGCTGTCGAGCAAGGCTACACACGCGCTGGATTGCAGTCGGCCACCATCGTAGTTATGCAAAGCACCGTCAAGCAAGGCACCGTCGAGCCGGGCAACAGGCGTCCAACTCGCCGAAACGTTGGCGGTGAAGCAAGCTCGCACTGCAGCAGCTTGCAGTCGGACAGTCCGTCTGCACGACAAGGCACAGTCCTCGACGGCTCCGTCAGCAACGTGGCGGGCACGACAGCCTCCGTCATCCCGAGTCGCACAAGGCACGGGCAGCACAGTGCACAGCCGTCGCCGTCACCGTCGGACAGTATCGCACGCGGACGCATTGCGGCTCAAAGCTGGCTTGAGAGCACTCGGAGTTGCACGTAGCACCGATCATTCGCAACACAGCATGTTTCCACACGTCTGGCTTGTGCGAGTGGCAGTGTGTGGGGGGGAATTTGCGCGGCGGATGGATGCGGCGCGTCTCTGGCGCGGTTCGGATCGCGATGTTCTACTTGGCGCTGTGTCGTGGGGAGGAAGGGGGGGTTAAGGCTGAGCAAAGGCAATTCTTTGCGAGGATGCGGAGGTGGGCCAGGGTGGGTTGGATGTGGTCTTCTGGGGGTTGGAAGGGGGTCTTCCACGCGAGCGTGCGCGCGAGTTGGGCGAGCAAGATCCTCTGTTGCTCTGGGCGCTTTTGGTTGACAGCGTTGAGGATCTCGTGAGCCTTTGCGAGGTGGTTGAGTGATGGCGGCGTGGTTTTGAGCTGGGCGATCATCGTACCGTGCATGACAATCGACACTGTCAACTCCTCCAGCAGTACATCCACGTCCATCTCATCGCTGTTGGTGAGGGAGCAAGTGATGGTGAGGATGCAATTGGTGCTGAGCAGCAGCCGTTTGACATCGGTAAGCGGGATGCTATCCCAGGCGCAGAATCGGCTGTAGAAGGGTACAAAGAGGCGGTCGAATACGCCCTGTGCCATGCTGGGGTCGAAAGAGGAATCCACCACAATGCTGGCAAAACTCGCTTCAACCACATCGGCCAGCGCTTTGGGAACCCCCACGTCGACCTTGTGCCAATACGCCGTACCTTCCCCCGCCCCCTCCATCGCCGTAGAATAGGCGCTGAGCGTCGAGACTAGAACCTCGCTATTCGATGCAACGTATCTGTGCAATCCCAGCCGATGACCAAGTGCAGCAAGGGTCGAGTTGGATGCCAACATCCCCTTGAGCGCCGTCAACTCGCCCGGAGAAAGGTCCGGGTGGGCGGAAAAGATGTACCGCACAATGTACAGATCGAGCCATGCATCGCCAAGAAACTCCAATCGCTGATAGGACGGCAGCACCGACGCGAGCAGCGAGGGGTGTGTGAAGGCCTCAAGTCCCAGATGCGGGTACCGATACACGTGGCCAAACAGCGACTGCAAATGGTCCAAACCGGACCGGTCTACTCGACGCTCCCAACCTTGCGTCACCGACGTGAGCTTAAGCTCTTGCAGCAGCGTGTTGAAATCGTCCAGCCGCCGAATGGACTCTGGGATGAGCGTGAGGACTCGACAGACATGCAGTGCCGCGTCCGTTCCCCCACCCAGCAGCGCCGCCCCGATCAGCGCCTCAACGACGTCCGGCAGCGTCTTTTCGCGAATCACATCCGTCTCGCCCGGCCCCACCTCCACAGGCCCGGCTTGGAGCAGTGCCCCACCCATCCACCCCGACATCGGCGCGGTACATCGCTTGGCCCCAAAGTCCGCACTGGCGAATAACGCCCAGCGACCCAGTTGGAGCCGGCGCGCCTCGCGCAGCAGCCGCACATTGGTCAGGATCCCCTTGTTGGCCAGATGCAGCTCCGCCTCTGTCCGCCCCAGCTGCGTCGTAAACGTGTGGCAGGTGGCGACGAGCTTGAGGAACGTATCGCCGAGAAACTCGAGCCGTTCGTAGTCGAGCCCGCACCGCGCAGCCGGACTTGCAAGTGCTTCCAGCACTAAGTCCACCTCGAGCGCACCGCTGAATACGGCGTCGTTGCACTGCGATGCGAGAAGGAGTTGGTCGTACCGCGTGAGAACGGACGGCAGTGCGAGCACGCTCAATAGCACGTCGGAGCGCAGAGGGAAGACGCGGTAGAAGCGCGGAATGATGAACCGCACGAGCGTGGCAGCGGCGCGACTGCCCCGACTCGGAGCTGTGAGCAGGTTCGTCAGCTTGCCGAGCTTGGTGACGGCGACGAGTGGCGTGGATGCGAGCTGGGTGGCAAGAGTCGCGGCTTCCTCGGCGTTGACGCGGCGCGCGTACTTGGTCAGGTGCTGCGAGAGGTACGTCTGCGTCTCGTCCACCGTCTCCGTCCCGGCCTTGGGTGGAAGCGGCGAGATCGCCGTGAGGTCGTGCCTGACGTCTCGGAAGATGTACAGCGCGTTGGACGCATAGCCGTGCTGCCGCGTAAGCACCCTGTTCTGCAGCGATCCGAGCTCAGACAGGTCGATGCGCGACGATTCTAGTGTGGCTGGCCAGTCGAACGCGAGCTGCGACCAGGCCGTCACGTCACTTACGCCATCGGCGACGCGAACGGGTGCAACGAGCACGGCTGGCTCGCCGTCATCAGGCCCAACCTCGCGCCGGCTCAACAACGCAAATACGAACCGCGTGAACTGCGTCGCAGCCTCGAGCTCGGTGCTCCCCAGCGGAACGGCTCCGAGAGATGCGGCGCGGATCGGCTTCATCTCGCCCGAAGCTGCATGGTACAGCGTCAACCGTTCTGTGGCCGGTAGCGCACCGCGCGTGAGCAGGAGCAGTGGCTTGTATCCCGCATCGAAGCTACCCATCGGGAGGAACGTCGCATGCCACTGCGCTTCTTTGCCCGTACTTTGCGCGTAAAACCGCGCCCATCCGTCCATCTTCTTGACGGGCACGTGGATGGGCTGCCCCGTACCGCGCCACTCCTTATGGTGCGGGTTCATCGCCACGGGTGCTGCGTCGCGATCAGCCACTGTGGCACCGACGAGCTTCGGCATGAGCCACTCGTCGAGCTCTCCAAGCTGCCGCAGCTGCTGGCATGCGCGTAAGGCAGCCATGCGCTTGGCGCGCTTCTTGGAGCTGCACGGTCCCGAGTCGACACTGCGCACCGCCGCGGTGCTGGGCAGCTCGAGCGTGCAGCTGAACGCGGGCGTGCCGCCGAGCACATCGGTGCACTGCATGCGGTACGCCAGCACGGCGTCCTTGAGATGCTCGCTGTGCAGCGTCGCCGCATAGTGCGCCACGAGGCTCGGGGCGTCTTCGGCATAGAGCCGTGCGCCGGTGGTCGGCTCGTGGATCGCCGGTTCGGCATCGGGATCTTGGGGCTCGATGTGCAGGCGCTGCTGCCACTCGTCGCACAGCATCGCATCGGCATCGCCACCGTCGCCGCCGGACTCGGTGATGGCATCGAGCCACTTGCTGCGTCGCGCCTCGGTGTCGAAGGCGTTGAGAATGACCTTGGCATGGTCGGCGTTGCCGCTTTCGGCCATGAGGATGAACCTGCTCCCGCGCGCGCGTGCGCGGCCGCGCGACTGGAGGAACGAAATGTGGCGATTGAACAGGTCGAACCGAATCACCAGGTTGGCAGCTTGGATGTCGAGGCCTTCTTCGGCGATCGAGGTGGCGACGAGCAGGTTGGTGGGCGCGCGGCGGCGGAAGCGGTTGAGCACCTGCACCTGGTCGTGCCAGTCCATGGCGGGCGCGCCGCCGGCGGCCGATCCGTTATCGTGGCCGAGCAGGAACTCGGGATGGATAAAGCCGAGCCCGGGAGCGCGCTTGATGAGCTCGACGAGCAGCGTCGCCGTCTGCCGCCGCTCGACAAAGACGATCGCGCAAAAGTTGGCCGCGTCCGGCTCAAAGCACTGCAGCAGCTCGACGAGGCGCAGCAGCTTGGGCGATGCATTGGATGCGTCGATGCGCAGCTCGTCGGGCAGCGCGGGGTGGGCTCGCATGTGCAGCAGGATGCGACGGTTCAGCTCGCTGCTGTTGGACAGGTGAGCGGCGCCGAGAGGCAGAGGCGATTTCTGCGGCTCCTCTGCACCGTCATCGCCATCGCCGTTCTCGCGCGGACTGCGCATGCTGGCATCGACGATCCACGCATCGCTGACGAGCGTGCGCTTATCCCGGCTGATGGCAGCCCACTTGCGCGCGCGCGAGCGCAGCTCGAGCAGCGTACTATGCCAAAACACGTCGCAGCCGACAGCGCCGAGGTGGCGCATGGTGTACTCGAGCTTGGGCTGTACCTCGTCGCGAAAGTGGCGCTGGACCGGATCGAGCTGGTCATCCTCCAGCGCGACGTCCACCGCAAACATGGCGAGCATCTCACGGCTGAGATCTGAGAGCGGCACGCCGCCCAGCTCGTCGTCGAGCACGGTGACAAAGGGTGCGAACTCGACGACGAGCTCGTCGGGCTTCTGCTTGACCTTGTCGAGGTCGTCGAGTGCCGCCTTGGACACGGTGTGGATCCTAGCGTCCATGATGCTCTGCAGATAGTGCGCGGCTTCGTGGAACATTCCGCTCCTCGTGAAGATCGGGCTGGCTGTCATGCCAAAGATCTTGGGCCGCTGGTCGGCGGGTGCGAGACGGTAGTACTTCATGATCCGGAAGAACGGGTGGTTCTTGAGCGCGTGGTGCACTTCGTCGAAGATGATGAGGTTGAGATCGGGTATCTTGATAAATCCGTGGATGAGGGCGTCGAGGAAGCACTGCGCGGTGGCCACGATGACCTGGTGCGACTGGAGCAGTGCGGCCCACTGGGGCGCGTGCCAGTTGTCGACGGTGAGCTTGTTGCGTCCACGCGTGGCCTCCTTGAGCTCGCCGTAGAGCTTGCCGACGGCGAGGTCGGAGTTGCCGGCGATGACGGACGACTGCTGGTGGACGAGCGGAACGAGGTTGACGAGGAAGAACGACACCTTGCGCTGGGTGGCAGGGATGGAGGGAGGGACGGGTTGGCTGTGGATGTGCTGGAGGAGGAGCACCGAGATGAGCGTCTTGCCGCTGCCCGTGTCGAGGCAGACGAGCACGTTTCCGGACTTGGCGATCTGGGCGAGCTCGAGCTGGTAGGAGCGCGGGACGAAGGTGAGCTGGTCGGTGCGGAGCTGGTCGGAGGGGTCGACGGCGGTCTGGGCAGCGATGTGCTCGAGGATCCTGCGCTTCTTGCGCGCGCCTTCGTCCTCGACGACAGGCGGTGTAGCCGGTGAGGGTGCAACATCTGGATCGACTGGGCTTGGAGCTGGACTGCCAGAGCGCTGGCGAGATCGCTTCGCCATGGTGTCCAGACTTTGGTGGGAGAGGGGTGTGACAGCGATGGACGAGAGGTGGTCGATGTCGATGTCGTCGATGGGTATTGGGGACGAGGTCGGGGGAGACAGATGGACGTCGGCAAGCCAGTTGGACACACGAGCCTGCGCGGACAATATATCCGTGTCTCCGACGCTGTTCCGTGCGGGCTCCTCGAGGTCCAACTGCGGAGGAGCGAGTGCGGGAAGAGGTGCGGATGCGGATTCGGAGGAGGATGAAGCCGCGTCCTGTTGGATGATGTAGTTAAGGTTCATGGCAGCGGCTTCCAGGGCATTCCGTTTTCGAAGGAGCCGAAGCTTTGTGACGGGTTGGTGGGTTCATATGATTCGCGCACGGCTGGTGCATGCTGGCGTGGGATGCCGCAGCGCATGTGTGCAGATGAAGCTGCAGTCGGAACAGCGGAAGCGGCAGTTGCGCCGCGAGCTTGTGTGCCCAATAAGACAGTCACCAGCCGATGTCTCTCTCCGTTGGAGTCGTCCCACTGTGCGATGGGAGCTGCGGCAGGAACAATGAGCGAGGAGGGGTGGGTGCGCACAAAGTCGGTGAGTGGAGCTTTGACAGGTGGAACCGATTCAGGGTCCAACCTTCTGGCCTTGTTTGGTGCAGCGCCGAGCCGGCCGAAATCGATTCGCACTTCCGACATCCGAATCTGAGCCATGGAAATTTGGCGTCCCCACTCTGACCCTTTCTCTTCACCACCACCATCCATCTCTTCTATCTTTGGCCGCCGTATTCACCATGTACAACGGTATTGGCCTCAAGACGGCGCGCGGCACGGGCACCAACGGCTACATCCAACGCAACCTCTCCAACGTCCGACCGCGCGACAATCCCTTCACCAAACCCGCCTCCTCGTCCGCCCCCGACGTGCGACACACGCAGCCGGATGCAGCGATTCTGGAGCACGAACGCAAGCGCCGCGTCGAAGTGCGCTGCATGGAGCTGCGCATCCAGCTCGAAGACGACGACGTGCCCGACGACGAGATTGAGCTCCAGGTGCAGGCGCTGCGCGAGAAGCTGACGGCACAATTGGAGCAGCAGCGCGAGGAGGAGGCGGTGTCGAAGGTCGATGCGGCTCGGTTGAGGGTCGGCGACACGCACAGGCTGGCGGAAGCTAAGCAGCATGATGAGCGACGATTCGCTCGGGCGGTGGGGGTGGAGAGCGGGTATAGGGAGGGCGATGCGTTTGATCGCGAGCTGCAGGAACGCAAGAAGCAGGAACGCATCGAAGAGCGAAGGAGGAGGGACGAGGAGAGGAAGAGAGAGTGGGATAGGAGGAAGGAGCAGCAGGCTGAGGCGAGGAGGGAGCGCGAAAGGCCGCACGAGGAGAGGGATGCTGGATGGACTAGACACAGTGCGAGGGAGGAAAAGGTGTCGCGTTCGCCCTCGCCTCGCGCAAGGAAGCGCAGCAAGTACAGCGAAAGTTCGGGATCCGAGTCCGACTCGAGCGAGCGATCCCCGCGACGCAGAGATGACGGCAGGGGAAAGAGGCGAGAGGTGCAACGTGGACGTACGAGAAGTCGATCCGCTTCCAGATCGAGCTTCACCTCCAGCTCCAGGTCGAGGTCGAGGTCGAGGTCAAGGTCGAGCTACGATTCTCGTTCGCGCTCGCGATCAAGGTCGAGGTCGAGATCACGCTCTGTATCACGTTCGCGTTTGCGTTTGCGTTCGCGCTCGCGTTCGCGCTCAGCCTCGTCTCGATCGCACAGCGTCGGTCGTCGTCGCTCCTACTCGCGCTCACCCTCTCGCTCCGTCTCCTCCCGCAGCCGCAGCCGCAGCCGCAGTGGCAGTCTCAGTCGCAGTGTTACTCCCGTACGCGCGCTTCCACCCGGCCCGCCACCCACACGCCCCCCAGGCCTTTGAATCCCCACGATTCCGACTCCGCTTCAATAAGATGCTATTATCTTGTGATCTAGTGGTGATACTGATTGGGCTGATACACTGCGCCCGACGAAGTGGACGTGTGCATGGCTGCATACGCTGGCTGTTGCTGCTGATACTGTGGATACGCGTACTGTGCTTGGCTCCCATACGAATACCCCGCCGCGGTGGGGGGATAAGGTGCTGCGGAATAATTCTGCGACTGTGGAATCGGGGGTAGAGGCGATGGCGAACGCTGCGGTGCCCATCCCTCGCCACCTTGGGTGTACAGATATCCACTCGTCGACGCTGGAATCCCCCCGCCATTCGGGGGTGCAGAATACCCAGGCTGCGACTGTGCGGGTGGAGGACCAGCCCAGCTCGACTGCGAGTAGGAGTGCGTGTGCGCATGCGCGTGTGCGGGAGGCGGCGATGGCTGTGGCACCGCCTGGTACAGGTGCGAATACGCATGCGGCGGCGGAACAGCCTGCGACGCCAACGATGTCGAACTCTGCGTCGATGGCAGCGGTCGCGAAACGTGTCCCGACGGTGATGGCTGCGGCTGCGGTGGTGCCTGCTGTGGCTGTAGCGCAGGAGGCGGTTGCTGATGATGCTGCGGCGCAGGCGGCTGGCTATACGGCGAAGGAATGGGCGTGTATCCCTGCTGCACGCCCGGCGAGGCGGCACGAGGCGGTGCCGACTGCGGCTGCGACAAGTACGCGCCCACCTGCGGCTGTTGCTGCTGCGGCGGCGGCGGCGGTGGCTGGGACGCCTGCTGCTGATAGTACGCCTGCGCATTCACGACCGACGGCGCATGCTGCGCTGCGGGGCTGGTGCTGTACTGCGAGAGCGCCGAAGCCGGCCTCGCCGCGGGCGACACTGGCCTCTGCGAGCCCTGGTGCACTTCATGCTGCGCAGCATAGCCCAGCGTCGAGGGCGGCGTGTAGAGCGAGGCGAGATGCGCGGGCGTCTGGTAGATGTGCGACTGCGGCGGCCTTTCTTCTGGCTGCACGGGCGTTGGTGGCGGCAGCGGCTTGTCGGCGCCCGCCGGCGCGGGCGGCGCGTGAAAGCTCATCTGGGCCATGGTGTGCGTGAGCTGATCGGCGCCGTAGTCCGGCTGGGGCATCTGGGCGTATGCGGGCACGTGGGATATGGAGTGCGAGCGCGGCATGGCGTACTGCGCATGGTGGTGGTGCTGCGCCACTGTGCCCGGCCGGATGGTGGCGTAGCGATCGTCGCTGGGCTCGGACGGCTGCTGGGCGGCAGCAGCGAGATGATGGTGGCTCTGCGAGGGCGTCATGGAGTGCTGTGCGTAGTACGATGCGGACGGCGCGACAGTGTGGCCAAACTCGGACGGGGGCGGAGCGGCGAAGCTGTTGCGGCGCGAGGATCCGGCGGCGGGACCGATGGACGAAGAGTGCGAGGCGTGCGAGGCGTGCGAGGCGTG